CATTCTGCCTCTCTCTCTCTCTCTCTCTCTCTCTCTCTCTCTCTCTCTCTCTCTCTCTCTCTCTCTCTCTCTCTCTCTCTCTCTCTCTCTCTCTCTCTATCCTCGAGCGGGAGGAAGGGTGCAGCATGTTTTGTGTATGGGTGTCCTAGGCCAGTAAGGCGGTAGAGTCGCGCCGGGCCGCGTCATTTGTCGGCCGCTTGTGTCTTGCGCGTCCGGCGCAGGGCCGGCCCGTGGGGCTCCAAGAAGGGCCGGAATCCTCGCCGCTGCTGGCGTGTCGCAGTCTCGGCACACCCGTGATGTGCTCGCTGTGATGTATGGCTTCTACGAGCTGGAAATTCTACGGCTGGACCTGACACCTGTGCGGGAAGCGTGCGCGGCCCCGCGGCGCGCGGGGCGGCGGCCGCGGCGGGCGGGTTGCCGCCGCGACTGCCGCTGCGATTTCGTGTCGTGCGGGGTGTGCATGAAAAGAGCGAGATGTAACTTAGCATGCGGGCGGACCCCTCTAAGGTAAGGTAAGGTAAGGTAAACTTCTCCACACACACGAGGTGGTGGGGCAAGGGGGGGCAACCCTCGCATCTCCACGTCTAACGACAGGAGCCCCACGGCATTTAAAGTGCAAGGCCCGGTGCGCGTGGGACCCCTCTCACAGCTCACAGCTCACTAAGCAGAGCCGCCGCGCCCCGCGCCCCGCCCACCCCGCCCGCCCCGCCCACCGCGCCCACCGCGCCCGCCGCGCCCGCCGCGCCCGCCTCGCCCCCCTCGCCCACCGACCGCCGCCGTGGCGCCCACGGGCTGAACCTGGGGCACGGTGCGCGAGGGCGGCTGGTGGACAAACGTCGTCTGCGCCGCCACCAGCCGCCCAGTTGCGGCGATGGGCAGCGCCGGCTGGCGGCAGGCCGGGCAGATGGTGTCGCGCTCCAGCACGCGCGGCGCACACGTCTCGCAGTACAGCGCGTGGCCGCACGCGAAGCGGACCGAGCGCGGCGCGTCGTAGCAGAGGTCACACAGGCGCTCCTCGGCCCCAGCCGTCTCCTCCACCTCCCCCGCCGCCTCGACTAGCGCCTCCAGCCGCGGCAGCGCCTCTGCGAGCGGCATCCGCCGCTTCTTCCTCACGAGAGCCAGCCCGACCACCAGCCGCGCCAGCTCCTCGGCCTGCGCCGCCGACCAGCCCGCGTCGGACGCCGCGATCGATCCCTCCGCCGTGTCGGGCTCCTCCAACGCATCGTCGCACTCGTCGAGGAGGCCGACGGCGCCGCGGCCGGTCAGGGCGACGAGCAGCGTGATGCCGAGCGCATAGCCGTCGGTCAGCACTGACGCCTGCCCGCTCTGCGAGATGATTGGGTCCATGTACCCGAGCTTCCCAAAGATGCGTTGCGTCGACAGGTGCGAGACCTGTCCATTGGCGCCGGCCGTCGCCTCTGCCGCGCGCGCGAGGCCCACGTCGGCGAGGTAGCCGTTGCCGCGCTCGTCGAGCAGGATGTTGCCCGCCGAGACGTCGCGGTGCAGGATCATCGGAGAGAGCGTGTGCAGGTAGTGCAGCGCGCTCGCGGCGTCGCGCAGCACGCGGAGCCGTGCGGCGGAGGAGAGCGGCGGAGGCGGCGTCTCGAAGCCGAGCATGCGGAGCCGCTGCAGTGCGGCTGGTGAGCGGTAGAGGCGGTCCTCGAGGCTGCCGCCGCGGCAGAGGGGGTAGACGAGGCACGCTCTCGCCGGCGCCAAGCAGACGCCAAGCAGAGGGAGGAGGGACAAATGGCACGCCGCGCTGAGCGTGCGCACCTCGCTCTGCAGCTCGGCGAGGCCTTGGGCGCCGACACCGACCAGCGCCGTCTTGACGGCGAACCCGCAAGCGACGCGCGGGAACGACGGCAGCGCGTCGGCACGGTAGACGCGCCCAAAGCCTCCCTCGCCCACCTTGCGCGCCTCGGCAAAGCCGTCGGTCGCCGAGATGAGCTCGTCGAGAGGGACGGCGGCGGGCGGCGCGGCGGCGGCGGCGAGGGCGGCGACGCTCGACGCCGCCTCCACTGCCGCCGCTGCAGCGGCCGCCGCCTCCACTGCCGCTGCCGCCGCCTCCGCTGCCGCCGCCTCTTGAGCCTCCGCCGCTGCCACTGCCGCCACTGCCGCCTCTACAGCCGCCGCCTCCGCCGCCGCCTCCGCCATCGCCTCCGCCTCCGCCTCCGCCTCCGCCTTCATCCTCGCCTCCTCCCTCTCCCTTGCCTCCTCCTCCCTTGCCCTCGCCTCTGCCTCCTCCCTTGCGAACGACGCCGCCTCCGCCTCCTCCGCCGCCCGCGCCGCCGCAGCCTCTGCTACCACCCGCTCCGCTTCCTCCGCCACTCGCGCCTCCTCAGCCGCCCGCGCCTCCTCCGCCTGCTCCGCCGCCCGCTCCGCCGCCCGCGCTGCCGCTGCCGCCGCCTTCTCCTCCTTCTGCCGCTGCCGCTTCAGCGCCCTGGCCTCGCGGGTCTTTCGCTCCGCCAGCTCGTCGCGCAGCCGCCGCGCCGCCCGCAGCGCCTCCGAGCCGTCGGCGGCCTCGGTGTTCGCGTTGATCGCCGCCCTGAGCGCCTCGAGATCGGCGTCGCCTCGCTCGCACGCCTCAACCGCCTCGCGCAGCGCAGCCTCGGCAGCATCGCGCGCCTCCGCCGCCTCCGCAGCAGCTGCCGCCTCGCGTGCGGCCGCCTCGGCCTGCTCGGCTGATTCTGCGGCCGCCGTCTCCCCCCCAGCCTGTGCTGCGGTCGACGAGTGCTCCTCGAAGGCGCGCACGCACTCGGCGTGGCCTTTCTCCTTGGCCCACTGAAGCGCCGTCGTGCCGCTCGCAGTGCGCGCCGCAGCGTGTGCGCCCGCCCGCAGCAAGCGCCGCACGACCGCGGGGTGGTTGAAGAGAGCGGCGGCCATCAGCGCGGTGCCGCCGACGCTGTCCTGCAGGTTGACCTCCGCGCCGTGCTGCAGCAACAGCTCGACCACCCGCTCGTGGCCTTGGAAGGCGGCCATCATCAGCGCAGTCCAGCCGCTGCTGTTCTGCAGGTTGACCTCTGCCCCGCCCCGCAGCACCATCTCGACCACTCGCTCGTGGCCGTTGTTGGCGGCGCCCATCAGCAGCGTGAGGCCGCTAATGCCGTCTCTCTCGCACGTCGCGTCGGCCCGCCCGCCACTGTCGAGCCACGCCAGCACCGCCTCCTCCTCGCCTCGCTCAGCCGCTGCCACGACCTCATCGGGGGCTGCCGCGACACCGCTCGACGCCTGCTCCGCCGCCGCCGCTGGAGATGGCGTCTTCGCGACTCTCGATCCAGCCGAGGAAGCGCCGCCGGAGGAAGCGCCGCCTGCGCCTTCGCCGCCGGCTGCCGCCGCCATGAGCCGTCCCGCCACCACCTCCTGGACGTGCTTCTTGAAGGCCTCGACGCACTCGGCATGGCCCTGCTCCTTGACCAGCTGCAGCGCCGTCATGCCGATCGCATTGCGCGCCGCCGTGTCTGCGCCCGCCCGCAGCAAGCGCCGCACGACGGCGGGGTGGTTGAGGTAAGCGGCGAACATCAGCGCGGTTTCGCCGACGCTGTTCTGCAGGTTGATCTCCGCGCCGTGCTGCATGAGCAGGTCGACCACCTGCTCGTGGCCTTGGCCGGCGGCGGTTATCAGCAGCGTGAGGCCGCTCAAGCCGCCTCTCTCGTACGTCGCGTCGGCCCGCCCGCCGCCCTCGAGCCACGCCAGCACCGCTGCCTCGTCGCCTCGCCCAGCCGCTGCCACGACCTCGTCGGAGACTGCCACGCCACCGCTCGGCGCCCACTCCGCCGCAGCCGGCGACAGATTACCCGGCCGCACCCGCACGCTCTCGCCGCCGCCCTCGAGCGCCACAGCGTACCGCCCGCCCTCGAAGCTCCGCGCCACGCCCCGCTGCCCGTTCAGCTCGGGGCGGGCAGAGAGGCCGCCGAGCACGACGCGCTGGCCGAGCAGCGGCGCGTCCACAGCTGCCGCTGCCGCGCCCGAGGAGGCCCGGCCGTCTGCAGCCGCCGCCGCCTCAGCTAAGACCTTGACGCACTCGGCGTGGCCGTTCTCCTTGGCCAGCTGCAGCGCCGTCTTGCCGTTGACAGTGGGCGCCGCGTCTGCGCCCGCCTGCAGCAATCGCCGCACGACGGCGGGGTGGTTGAGGAGGGCGGCGCCCATCAGCGCGGTGAGGCCATTGCTGCTCTGCAGGTTAACCTCAGCGCCGCGTCGTATCAGCGAGTCGACCACCCGCTCGTGGCCGTTGCCGGCGGCGTGCATCAGCGCGGTGCTGTCGTCGCTGTCCTGCAGGTTGACCTCAGCGCCGCGCCGAATCAGCAAGTCGACCCCCCGCTCGTGGCCTCCGATTGCGGCCCACATCAGCGCGGTGCGGCCGTCGCTGGCCTGCAGGTTGACCTCAGCGCCGCGCCGAATCAGCAAGTCGACCACCCGCTCGTGGCTGGTTGATCTTCGCCCTGTGCCGCAGCAGCAGCGCGACCACCCGCTCGTGGCCGTACACGGCGGCGCCCATCAGCGCGGTGTCGCCGACGCTGCTCTGCAGGTTGACGTCAGCCCCGCGCCGAATCAGCAGCTCGACCACCTGCTCGTGGCCGTAGCGGGCGGCGCCCATCAGCAGCGTGATGCCGCTCACGTCGTCTCTCTCGCACGTCGCGTCGGCCCGCCCGCCGCCCTCGAGCCACGCCAGCACCGCCGCCTCCTCGCCACGCTCAGCCGCTAGCACGGCCGCGTCGGAGCAGCTGAGGGAATCTCTCACCGCCATATCGTTCTTGTGGTTTGGGTTCCGGCTCTTTGGGTGGGTAGGGACCCTGTGGCATAAACACTTCTCATCAACCACAAGAACGCAACTATCGCCAATCCTCACGCGTCACGGCGTTTGTACACACATATGATGACGCCCTCCGGCACTAATACGCGCTTCAACCCATGCCGACCCATGACGGCGACCACGGGACCGTCGCCTTGAGGTCGTCCCCACTAGTTTGCCTGTGCGTACAGCTACGGTGGCATCGGGCCACCGACTAGTTGTCGCCGCCCCCCGCGCCGGGCGGCAGCGGCACGACGGACGCCACCTGCAGGAGTCTCCTCCGTTGAGCGAGAGCGGCTCCGTTAGCACGGGCTCTGCAAAAAGGTTGTCGTCGGTCGGCGCGTCGATGCTCGCGACCTGCAGCGGCTCGCCGCCAAACGAGAGCGGCGCAGTGGTCGCAGCCACGACGCCCCCCCCGCTCAGCGGCCCGCCCATCGCGGGTGAGGAGGCGGGGAGCGGCGCGGCGATGAGCGGCGCGACGGCGCCGTCGCCGCCAGCCTCCGCCGGCTCGGGCGGGGCAAAAGTGGCCGCCGCGCCGCCGCCGCCCGCGAGCACGCGCACGCCGCCGCCCTCGTGCGGCTCGGCGAGCGCGGGCAGCGCGCCGTCGGTCAGGCTCCCCATGTGGGCGGCCGACGAGGCGAGCGGGGCGGTCATCGACTCGGACACGCGCGCGCGCGAGCTGCCGCCGGTGGCACGCGTGGTGCGGCGGGGCGGCGACGCGCCGCCGCCGCCGGCCAGCTCTCTCGCCTTTTCATACGCGGCCCTCGCGGCGGCGTGCAGCTGGCGCGCGGCGATGCCTCCGTAGCGGAGCGCGTACTCCTTTGCGATGGCCGCGTGGTCAGAGACGTCAGCGAGGAAGGCGTTCCACGTCTCCTTGTCGGCGGCGAAGTGGCGGCCTGGGGGAGAGGGGCGGCGGGCGGGCGGTGAGCTCTCTTCTCTCCCGTGCCGAGGCGCTGCTCTTCGAGGAGTTCGGCGCAATGAGCGCGGGGGTGGAGGAGCTGCTGAGGCGGGTGGCTGAGGTGGCGGGCCGGAAGCTCACATGGTGGCAGTACGACCAGACGTCGTGGCCGGCGCGCGAATGGATGCCGTTTGCGCTGCAGCGACTGTCGGTGCAGCTCTGGATGGCGCTCGCGGACGAGGCACAGCGCGCCATTGGTGCGGCTTCGCGGCCGCGAGGGACCGCGGGGGGATGCTAGAGTTAGTGGATGGGGCGCCGCTCTGAGGGGAAGGGAGCGGGGGGCGCCCAGTAGGGCGCCGGCAAAAACCCGCGTAGAGGGCGCCGTGCTATCTTCTTTTTTTATTCTGCAACAAGCACGCGCCAGTTCGCACCTGTGTCGAGCCTGTCTGCTGTGAATTGAAATTATTTTTAAAACTGGTGGATGTTCCTGTTGCAAGGAGGTAAGCCGGCAGGCAGGTGGGCGGCGGGGGTGTGCAGGGTGTAATACATGTTTGTTATGTGAACATAGACCAGCGCAAAGCGCCATAGGACGTATTTTCTTGTCAATAACAAGGTCTGTGAAGAGAACCAAGGTTAAAAAAATGATTTTTTTTCTCGAGATCGCGTGGAGATGTGATGTCATCAAGCGCAACACTGTGGTTTCTTATCTACATCGATGTAGGTCACGAGGCCCCGCCGTGCAGGGCGCTACGGGCTCCGGCCGGACGAGTCGCTTAGGCGGCTCCGGTGGTGTGCCTGTGATTGTGCTAGCACGGCGGTGAGGGCGACGGCGGTGAGGGAGGAGGCGGTGGGCTGGGTGGTGGTGGCAAGGGCGGCGATGGCGTGGGCGGTGGCGGCGAGGGTGGCGGCGTCGAGGGCGGCGGTGGCGAGGGCGGCGACGGCGAGGCGGTGGTGGTGAGGGCGGCGGCAGCGACAGTGGCGGCGGGGAGGGTGATGACGGGCCGGGCGGCGGCGAGGGCGGCGGCGGGCGGTGGCGAGTCGGCTATTGGGAGGCGGCGGGCTGGGCGGCGCATTGGCGTTATCTCTCCTCGCAGTCCTTCGCCTAGTGTCGGCGGGAGATCGCGTCGAGCTCTGATGTCATCAACGCACTCGAAGCTAAACACACTCGAATATTCGACCGACAATGGCGAAGAAGGGAAAATGAGCGACGCGTCGCTGCCTAACCAGCCGCCGCAGCCGGAGGGCGGGCCGTCCGCGACGGTCGAGGAGAGCCGCGCCGCGCTGCTGGCTCACCTCATCTCGGAGGTGCGCCAGATCAACCAAATCGGCAGGGTGCAGTCCGAGGCGCTCCAGCGGACCGCCGGCCGGATCAACAGGATGGAGGAGAGACTGAACCTGCTCGAGCAGTCCAACAGGGTGGGCCTCGTAGAGACCACGGTGCAGTTCAACACCCTCTCCAACTCGATGGGCCTCCTGCAAACGGCGCAACAGTTCAACGAACTCGACTCGCTCCGTGAGGCCTGCGGTGCTGCTCCCATTGCTACCGCCGCCACGCCGGGAGGCGAGTCGGCGGCGAGCGGCGGCGTGGGCAGCATGCTTCCGCCGCCGGTGCCTCCGACGGCGCGTGCCTCGGGCGGCGATTGCGCCGGCCCCTCCTCCCTCTCGCCAGAGGCGGAGCCTGACGCCGCGGCCGCCCTCCACCAGGGCATCTTGCACATGGTGTGCACGCACCCCGGACCGACGCCCCTCCCGGCGGGTTGGGCTGGGCGACCCCCCCCCCCCCCCACACACACACACACCCCACACCCCTCCCTCCTCTCTCCTCTCCCCCTCCCGCCCGAGTCAAACCTCCCCTCCCCTCCTTCCTCCGCCCCCCTGCAGGGCGAGGCCTCGCAGGGAATCTCCCTGCCGCTCTCGGAGATCCTCCAGACCATCCACCCGGCCGAAGGGAGCCCCTCATCGAAGCGGCCGCGGCAGACCGACGGAGCGCCCGAAGCCGAGCCCGCGCGCTGCCGCATCGTCGACATGGCCTCCACGCCGCTGCAGCCGCCGCCCTCGTCCGCCGCAGAGCCGGGAGAGGAGGGGGAGGGGGGGGGAGTCGACCGCGGCCGGTGAGCGATGAGCATGAGCTCAATCATGCCCCTTACCCACGCACCTGACGCGCTGCTCAGCGCGCGGCGCGAGTACGTTCCCAACGTACGCTTTCGCTATCGCGGTCTAGCTAGTCGCGAGCCTGGGGACTGGGGAGCTCGGGCCTTCCCTCGTCTCACACGCCTCACTGTGACCTCCCACCCTCCGGAGTGCGCGCGGGGTTGTGCTTTCGCGCCCTGAGTACAATACGATAAACCCACAAAATCAAATGCGAGTAACGACTCGCAGAGCGCAAAAACTGAAAACAGAGGTGAGAGGAGAACCGGGGAGAACGCTCACACCCCACTGGCACCGTGGCACTGTACAGTGTGCAGACCGACATACAGCACGCACAATGTAGCACTTACTTTCAAGCGCGCGCATCCACCGCGCTCGCCCTCCACGGCCGTTGAGCGGCGCAACGCACATGCCCCCCTCGCGCGCGCTGGCGGCTCGACGAGGTCGGCCGGCGCGCGAGCACAACCCCAAGACGATGCCGTGAAGCGGGTTGCTGCGCGACCGAGCCGCCGATGCGCCGTCGGGGCGAAGGCGGCGGCGACGGCGGCAGCGGGCCGGGCAGCGGCGGTCGCGGTGGCGGTGGTAACGGCGGCGGCGTCGAGGGCGGCGGCAGCGAGGGCGGCGGCGGCGACGGCGGAGGCGGGCTCGGTGGGGGCGGCGACGGTGGAGGCGGCGAGGGAGGCGGCGGGGGCTCGGAGGCGGCGGCGAGGGCTGCGGCGGCGAGGGCTGCGGCGGCGAGGGCTGCGGCGGCGAGGGCTGCGGCGGCGGCGAGGGGGGAGGCGGCGACGGCGGCGGCGGGCTGGGCGGCGGCGGGCTGGGCGGCGGCGGCGACGGCAGCGGCGGGCTCGGTGGGGGCGGCGACGGTAGAGGCGGCGAGGGAGGCGGCAGGCTCGGAGGCGGCGATGAGGGCGGCGTGGCGAGGGCGAAGGCGGCGAGGGCGGCGGCGGCGACGGCGGATGCGGCGGCGGCGGACTGGGCGGCGGAGAGGACTGGGCGGCGTGCGGCGACGGCTGCGGCGGCGAGGGCAGCGGCGGCGACGGTGGCGGAAGTGAGGGCGGCGGCGGCAACGGCGGCGGCGGCGACGGCGGCGGCGGGCTCAGTGGGGGCAGTGACGGTGGAGGCGGCGAGGGAGGCGGCGGGCTACGCGGCGGCGGCGAGGGCGGCGGCGGCGAGGGCGGCGGCGGCGAGGGCGGCGGCGGCGAGGGGGGAGGCGGCGACGGCGGCGGTGGGCTGGGCGGCGGCGGACTGGGCGGCGGCAACGACGGCGGCGGCGGCGGTGAGGGCGGTGGGGGGCTCAGAGGCGGCGGCGACGGCGGCGGCGGCGACGGCGGCGGCGGGCTCGGTGGGGGCGGTGACGGCGGCGGCGGTGAGGGCGGCGGCGGCGACGGCGGCGGCGGCGGCGGCGGCGGTCTGAGGCTTCGGCTGGGACACCCCTGCCTCTTGCAGGGGGACGAGCACGAGTTTGACTGGGGGGCGCGGTGGGGCGCCACCCCGGCGCGCCACACACGTGCGCGCGTGGCGTCTTCGTTGACAGCAGGGCGGTGAGCGTGCAGCAGCAGCGGCACACAGAGCGTCGCACCGCCACCCACAGAGCGACGCACCGCCACCACAGATTCAGGTCGACGACTGCTACGCTGTCGAGCGGTGCGGCCGGCTGTCCCGCCCCTTCCTCGGCCGCTGCTACTACACGGCGCTGCAGCTCGGCCTCGCGCGGCCCGCCGGCATACTTTCCTCGTTACCCCGTCCGCCGATCCACTCGGCCGCGCGCCCCTCTGCCACGACGCGATCCCGCCGTGGGCGGCCCTCGCCGCGGTCGCAACGACCGCCGGGCGGGCGACGCTGCGGACGGCGTCTTCGGCTCACGCGCGTGCCGTTTCGAACAGGTGGCCGTCGCGTGGGTGGGCGGCTGCGTCGGGAGTTGGCTCTGCTGCCGCCGGCTCGCGGGCCCGCCGGCGGAGAAGCCGGCAGCGGCGCGCAGTCGGCGGGGAGGGCGGTCGGGGTACGCGCCGGTGGAGGCGAGGGAGGCGAGCCCGGACCCGCTTGCGGGAGTCGGCCGTGTAGGGCGGCTCTCTCCGTCGTCGTCGCGTCGTCGTGTGAACACAGCGTTGCTGTCTTTCCCCCTTCTCGACTGTCTGTGCTTGTGCGTCTTGGGTCCGGAGTTGTGCGTTTATGTGAACACAGCCGTTGTGATCGGCGGTCGGCAGGTGCATGCCTGCCGACTCTGCTCGCCCACCTGGTGGCGGCGGCGCCGCCGCCGCTGACGACGGTACTGCGACCGGCGGTAACAGCGGCGCTGCCAGCGTCGTCAACGGCGTCGGCGCAGCCGGCCGGCAGCGACTGCCGACGGACGAGCAGTCGGTCCAGCACGCTTACGCTTCACTGCATGAAGCCAACACTGTCGCTCTCGACGCAGAGCATCTCGGTGGTGGTGTCGATGCGGTGGTGGAGGTGGTGGAGGAGGCGGAGGGCGCTGCGGCGGCGCTCCGTGAGGACGCGCAGCGGGCTCTCGCCAGTGCCGCAGACGCAGCGGCTTCAGGTGGCGGCTGCTACGGCAAAAGCCATGCTGAGGCTT